CCGAGATGACTGGCTGATTCACCACCTGTGCCCCCTACTGTGCCAACTTGATGTGCTTTAGCCACCCGGCGCTCTGCTCGTTGTTGTGAGCATCGCTCCTCCGCCCTCCGTTGTTGTTGGAGGGCGACTGCCTCCAACTGCCCAGTAGCGTCCTTCACAAGCCTCCTCCAGAGGCCGATCTTGACACCGCTGGTACCAGTCATCGGCAAGTCCACTCAGCTCCACGTCCTCCTGTACCACATCACTCCATCTCTTCTCTAGCCCTTGCCGCGCCCGTTTAGCCCCCACGATCCGGCTGAACAAAAGCTGTTTAGGCATGTGGTGGCTGGGCATGCGGGCTACATGACCCAGCCAACGCAGCCTTGCCTGCCATCAGAGCTCACCGATGGGACTTTACCCAGATTTTTCAAGGATTTGTGAGCTCCTCACACAACCCAGCCTGGCTAAACCCAGGATGGATGGTAGGCAGGCCAGCCTAAATGTTTCCAACCGGCGAAGATGCTCCATTAGGGGGGTCCACGTTTCGCAAGCGTAGAGAAGGGAAGGAATGACTGTGGCCAAGAAGACCTGAAGTTTCGTGCAGAGCGACAGACCAGATAGCTTCCACACAGCGTTACGCAACCGATGAAAAGATATTGCCGCTCGACGGATTCGGAGTGAGACCTCTGCTGTTAAACTGGAGCCGGTCATAAACACACTGCCCAGGTATGGGAAACTCTCCACTCTCTCCACTACTGCCCCATCACCAATTGGGAGTTGTGGGGGTAGAGTGTCCGATGGAACAAAATACCCAGGCAGGTGCTTAGTTTTGGTGGGGCTGATGGTAAGGCCCCACCTCTTAGTAGCAAGCTCCAGTCTCAGCAGCAGCATCTCCAACTCCTCCTCTGAATGAGCAGCTATTACCAAATAATCGGCATACATAACGTGGGACCAATAGGGAGCCATCCCTTGATCGCACCCGGGCATCGATCAGCCTCCCAATATATCTGTACCAAATGGAGATTCACCCGGTACAGCTATTGAAGGCTTCACGAACTACGTGGTCAAAATAGATGTTAAATAACGTGGGAGCCAGAGGACATCCCTGTCGCACCCCAATGTGTACAGGGAAAGGCTCTGACTCCCGGCCACGTAGTTTTACCTGGGCCCGCTCACCATCATGAAGGTCCTTAATGATCGTGAGCAGAGGGTCAGGGACTCCGAAAGCACAAAGAACAACCCAGAGCCCAGGCCTACTGATGGTATCATAGGCCTTGACCAGGTCAATAAAGCAGAGATGTAGGTCTTGTTAGAATTCCCTACACCTCTGCTGTAGCAGATGGACAGAAAATATGGCATCTGTGCAGGACCGCCCTTTTCTGAAACCGCATTAGGGCTCTGCAAGCCTCTCCTCAGCGTGACTAGCAAAGCGATGTTGAATAATCCTTGCCAGGACCTTTCCTGGCACACTGAGGGCATCCATCCAATCCTGCGGAACCCGTCCAGTGGACCAGACTGTTGTTATGATGTCATATAGGGCAGTCTGTGCACAAACGCCACCCTCCCTCAGCATTTCGCTTGGGAGATCATCTCTGCCCGGTGCCTTTCCTGGTCTCAGACTCCGGATCGCCTTCAGTACTTCCTCAACAGATGGCACCTCAGCCAGCCACTCACAGGGGGTGACTTCTTCCAATATTTGAGGCACCGCTGCGGTGCCACCCACTCACTCACCCTCACCCTTACTTACTCACTTTCCCACTGACTAACTTACTTTCATCTTCTTGGTTCTTTCGGTAAAGTCACGTAGAAGGGAAGTAATAAAATAATAAAAATAAAACATAATAAAATAAAATAATATAAAATAAAATAATATAATATAATAAAATAATATAATATAATAAAATAATATAATATTATTTTATTTTATTATGTTTTATTTTTATTATTTTATTACTTCCCTTCTACGTGACTTTACCGAAAGAACCAAGAAGATGAATCCCTGCAGTCACGAAAGCTTTAAATTGAAATTTAACTTACTTTCATTTAAATGCGGGAGGAGGGAAGGAACGGAGGTTTGAGATTGTAATCCATTGACATCCAGAGGCATCAGATTCAAGCAGTAAGTCGTTGACGACGGGTTTGGTGGGTGGGCGAATGGGTGAGTTGGTGGGCAAGTGAGTGGGTAGGGAGGTGGATAGGTAAATGAGTGGGTAAGTGAGTGGGTTAGTGAGTGGTTGAATGGATGGGTGGGGATGTGGGTGGGTGAGTGAATTAGTAAGTGGGTGAGTGAGTGAATGCGTGAGTGGATGAGTGGGTAAGTGATTGAGTGAGTGGTTGCGTGAGTTGGTGAGTGAGTGATTGGGTGTGTGAATACGTGAGTGGATGAGTGGGTGAGTGAGTTAGTAATTGAGTGGGTGAGTGGGGAAAGTGAGTTGGTGAGTGAGTGGGTGAGTCAAGTCACGTCGCGCTTTTCTGAAAGAAAATCTGAAAATCAAACTCTATCATCATCACATTTAGTCTGCACCCATAGACATCGACACATTTTGTACAATGAGAAAATCATATCTATACAATATATGTTTAAAATCTCTAGAAATGTGCAAAAACTAAATTGAGGCTGTCAGCTGCGAGCGGAAGACATCACGCTATTTTTTCGTTCTATTAACATTCTTTAGTTTTTCGTTCTTTTTTTCATTCTTTTTTTCTTTATTTCCCTTTTTCTTCGTCCGTCCATCACGCCATCGCTCGAATGGCATCATCGTTGCTCCGTCAATCGCTACGTTCAAAACAAACTTCGCAGTATTTTACCTTTCACTCACGTTCTGCTCTGCCGATGCTGTCGAATCGCTTGGCCCTTCCATGGCCCTTTTCAGTTGGCACTGCATCGCGATTTATCTTTTTTATATTCGGCAAGAAAAAATATTCTAGCTCTAAGAATTTAAATAAACACAGATCGGATTAAACGTGAATGATATTGAACTCCGCACTCTGCCAGCTGTTCTTATCTTATTTCGTATTCATATTTAGAGCTATTTTCATCAAGGTGCTCTACATCGTTTGAAAATATAAGAAAAAAATAGTATAACAATAAAACAATACTGTTGGCAGGTGGCATGCGATGGCCGATGAATCGGTGACTATGATAGAGAGTTGAGTAGGGGATAGGGGAAGGATAGGTCGTAATAGAGAGATGCTTTTGGGAATTGGGAAAGGTAGGGAGGTGGTCACGATAAAGGGGTGCATAGGGGAGAGGGAGGGTAGGGTAGGGGAGGTGGTCAGGATAGAGGGGTGCGTAGGGGATGGGGATGAGTTGAGGAGAGGAGATGGTAACAATAGAGTGGTACTTATAGGATAGGGAAGCTCGAATCCGCTTCCCTGGTGCGGTTCTCTCACCTGAAGTTGTTTGCTGCTCTTTGAAATATTTCGGCTGGATTCTTCATTTCAGCCACGAACGTGGAATGCGTAAATCGACAATTGGACGAATTAATAACTATTTTAAAACTATTGCATTTCCTAGGTAAAACCCACTGAGCTGCGTTTTTCAGAAGTGACTCGGCCACAAATGATAGCTCAACGAAGTGGCTGATATCATCACGTTGGAATTTATAGCAGCAACCAAATAATCTAAAAGCACGTTTCTATGGCCCCCCATAGCGATCCATACTCATAGAGAACCAGACAGACTCATAGTGAACCATAGAGATCCACAAAGATTCACAGAAACTCAGAGCGACCCATAGAGACACATACTCATCAAGACCCAGACTAAAACAAAACTATTTTATTTGTATTTACCAGGTAAAGTCCACTGAGCGATGTAGTTCTTTGTCAGAAGCGACCAGACGGCAAATTAACGTATTGGCGACGTATCAGTACACAGTATAAACAAAAAATGACAATTATGTTATTTTCGATTCACAACCTCAATCAGAAAATCTTGGGAGATGCCTCAAAATCAGTTCTCGTGATGTCGAAGCGGTCCGAAGACGAACGTTATTAGCGGCTGAACATGGCACTTTACGGCCTGTTGCTATATCCCAGCACCCAGCCTGACCATAGGCTGCTCCGTAATCTAAAGGCAGTTTTGTGTCGTGCCCTAGACCTGGTCGGACAGTTCCTGAATGATTTCGGAATCATTTATCGGCAGACCGTGGCATCAAAAGATTACGACTGATGTCATGACCGCACGTCCGAATGGGAAAGCAGCTGCTGAATCTAAGAGCAACTTCTGATGGAGAATTATGTAACTTCACTCAAGGGGCAATAACGACATCATCAGTTTGGGCTTCATATTTACCTGGTGGCTCTCCAGCAGCAGCTCAGTCAGCGGAAACAGCAACAGCGACGGCGCTGTAATGTTCCTTCTGGTGGAGCGTCAGAAATGGCTACAGTGTCTGTTCGAGCTTCATCACCAGTTGGTCGAGTCGGCAGTTCCATCAACGGCTTCAGCATCTGCATGGGCTTCATCGTCAATTGGAGAATTGGCTGGTCGACCAACGGCAACTGCGCTTGCACAAAGTTTCCGTTTATGAGGACGAGTGTGTTATGCTGCACCGGTGTACTGACACGTATGTCCAAATTATAGCTTAACGTAGTGGGCTTATTGTCATCACGTGGGAAATTATAGTACCAGCCAAATAATGATCTAAACGCGTGACGTTGATTACTAAATGTGTAGGGAAAACCCGAAAAAAATCCATGCAACCAACATGGAGAGAAAGAGAGAAAAAACGTGATTCCAAATAAACAACAGGCATCGGCAGGATCCGGGATCGAATCCTAACCTCCTGCATATCGGGCGATGGAGATAACATCTCCTCACAACCGCGAGAACTTCTTAATATGGCGATGCTTCCGAACATTAGTCGTTCTCATGTCACGATGGTGACATTGATGGCGATTCATGGTGATATTGGTTATTGATGGTGATATTGATTATTGGTGGTGACTGATAGTGATATTGATGATTAGTGGTGATTTTAATCATATCTACAATCTCCTGCGTGTCCCTGAATGCAGGAAAAACTGTGGCAATGAAGATCAACATCGTACTTCTCGCAGTCACATCCATTGTGATTGCGAGCTATCTACTCCATATGTACACGTAGGTCAAATCCAAAGTTTCACTACAATGGCTCTGTGCCTATCCATATAAATATATATATACATACAGGGGGTTTGATACAGGAAATGTCAACACACATAGGGTTATTCTTATACAGGGTGGGCCAAAAGTCAAGACACATAGCGTTTTTATTATACAGTGGCCCTATATGATATCATAATAACAATTTGGACCATTGGATGGAGTTCGATGTAAAGCTTTCGTGACTGCAGGGATTCATCTTCTTGGTTCTTTCGGTAAAGTCACGTAGAAGGGAAGTAATAAAATAATAAAAATAAAACATAATAAAATAATTCTCACGACGTTTCGGCCACAACGCAAGCAGCCGTCCTCAGGTGAAAACCAGGTCTGTCGGGGAGACAGCGTCTGAATGAAACAGCACACGAGCTTGGAGCACATATATAAGCTGGGTTGGGAGGGGGGGAAAGGGCGCTTCGACAAAAGAATTTGCATATCAAGAGGAATTTAGCATATTTATGGGAAACGCAGGAATGTGATTAGTACTACATATGCCCGTGCATAATGCATAATGCACGGGCATATATATGTGCGCCAAGCTCGTGTGCTGTTTCATTCAGACGCTGTCTCCCCGACAGACCTGGTTTTCACCTGAGGACGGCTGCTTGCGTTGTGGCCGAAACGTCGTGAGAATTATTTTATTATGTTTTATTTTTATTATTTTATTACTTCCCTTCTACGTGACTTTACCGTAAGAACCAAGAAGACCATTGGATGGGTTACACACGATTGGAAGAATAGCCTGGTGGTCCCCCTCTTTAAGAAGGGGGACCGCACAGAAAGGAACACTACAGGGGCATCACCCTCCTCAGGTGTGTCGGGAAAGGTTCTGCTAAGGATTATTCAACACTGCCTTTCCAAGCAGGCTGCAGAGAGGCTTGCGAAGCCTCAATTTGGTTTTAAGCTTGGGCAGTCCTGCACAAATGCCATATTTTCTATTAATCTACTAAAGCGGCGATGTAGGGAATTCCAACAGGACCTACATCTCTGCTTTATTGACCTGGTCAAGGCCTATGATACCATCAATAGGCCTGAGCTCTGGGTTGTTCACAATCATCAAGGACCTTTATGTTGGTGGGCAGACCCAGGTTAAACCGTGTGGCTGGGAGTCGGAGCCATTTCCCTGTTCACCTTGGCATGCGACAGGGATGTCCTCTGGCACCCACATTATTTAACATCCTTTTCTATCACGTAGTTTGTGAAGACTTCTATGGCTGTACCAGTGGAATCTCCATCTGGTACAGATACAATGGGAGGCTGATCGATGCCCGCGTATGGTCAAGGGATGGCTCCCTATTGGTCAACCGCATTATGTATTTTGATGATCTGGTAATTACTGCTCACTCAGGAGTTGGAGGTGCTGCTGCTGAACCTGGAATGTGCCACTAAGAGGTGGGGCCTTACCAAATCTAAGCACCTGCCTGGGCATTTTGTGCCAACAAGCAATCCACCCCTTCAACTTCCTATTGGTGATTGGGCAATTGTGGAGAGAGTGGAGAGTTTTCCATGCCTGGGTAGTGTGCTCATGACCAGCTCCGGTTTGACAGCAGAGGTCTCACTCCGAATTAGTCGAGCAGCATTATATTTTCATCGGCTGCGTAACGCTGTGTGGAAGCAACTTGGTGTGTCGTTCCAGTCGAAACTTCAGCTCTTCTCGGCCATGGTCATGCCCTCTATTATCTACACTTGCGAAACGTGGACCCCCCTAATGGAACATCTTCACCGGTTAGAAACATATAGGCTGGCCTGCCTATGATCTATCCTGGGTTTAACCAGGCTGGATTGTGTGAGCTCACAAATCCTTTAAAGATCTGGACAAAGTCTCATTAGTGAGCTCCTTCGGCAGGTAAGGCAGCGTTTGGGTCATGTAGCCTGCATTCCCAGCCACTGCATGCCTAAACAGCTTTTGTTTGGCCGGATAGACGGGGCTAAACGGGCAGTGCACGGGCTAGAGAAGAGATGGAGTGATGTGGTACAAGAGGATGTGGAGCTGAGTGGACTTACTGATGACTGGTAACAGCGGTGTCAAGATCAGCATGTGACAGAGGCAAATGAAGGATGCTATGGGGCAGTTGGAGGCAGTCACACTCAAGTGGAGCGGCGGGTGGCTAAAACACAGCAAGTTCGCACAGTAGAGGACACAGGTTGTGTATCAGCCAGTTATCTCAATCAGTCTACCCATAGCACTTGGGTCTGTGCTGTGAACTCCTGCTAGCGGGCGTTCTGATACTTCACGTGGCCTTAACGTGCCCATAGCCTGGCAAAAGCGCCGTGGTGACGCCGCTTAATGGTGAATGACGGTTGTTGTTTTTGGTGGTGGAGATGGCTCTGACCAAACAACCTGTTGAGGCTATACGGGGGATGGTTGTTTTCACGTTGAGGGAAGCGGGGGAGCAGAAATCACTCTTCTACTAGGAACCCGAGAGAGACCCGAGTTCAATTCCTGCTTATGACCACCATCACCACTAACACCAGTGACAGATAATTGTATCCGACTTGGCCCCAGGTCTACCCTAGATTGACTCAACTTCAAATGTGTAACCTGGTAGAGTGGTGTGTAAAGGTCGCCACCCAGCAGTCTATTAAGGGCTACACGGGGAATGTCTTTCGTAGGGGTAGTATTAGCGATAGAAGAATAACAACGAGGCGACTGCTCTCTTCACAGTCACCGTACCAATGTACAGACTGTGACGGTGTGGGGAGCTTCCATCCTGTGGAATGGCACTTTTGACCAATCATACGTGGACCGGCTGTACGCGAGGCGTGAGGTCACAGTGGGCATCACCGTGTTCGCCATTGGACGGTAGGGGAGCTCAAATACAACCGCCAACACCACCACAACCATCACAACCACCACACCTACCACAACCTCCACCAAACCACCAACACAATCACCATAACTAACTCCATCACCACCACCATCACCATCTCTATCACCACCTCCATCACCACCTCCAGCACCACGCTCACTTCCACCACCAACAACTTCACCACCACCACTCTCGTAGACAGAGAGGAAGACTCAGAGAGAAAGAGAGAGAGACAGTGTCGTCCTCGGAGTCACCCTCTCCCTGTCTCTCTCCGAGTGGTCCTCTCGTTCTGTCTCTGCTTTCTTTGAGAGAAAAGAAAGAGACAGAGTGAGAGAATACCGAGCGGCGTTGGTGCATTGCGAGTTGACACCACCCCAGCGATTTTCGTACAATTTCACGGCTCCATGCCTTGAACCCATCGACACCACGTGTGCACCCGCACACACTCACACTTGTGCCGCAGCTACCTGGACCTGTTGCTGAAAAACTTCGTGGATTCGGCCGAGCTGCACTTCTTCGTCGGCTACAGCGTGACCTACTACGTCGTGACAGACCAACCATCGCGTATACCCAACCTCTTGCTAGCACCCAAGAGAATGCTCGTTCCTGTCAAGGTCAGTTCACAACCCCTCCTCTCCACAGAGGTGGCCAGGTCCTCGATAACGCAACCCACCCCCACCCCAAATCGTAATTCCCTGTCCCCTACTCACAGACGTCAATCCCTGCACTTAATTCATCACGAGATATTGTCTTCTCACCATCAACTAGAGAGCCATTAGACTCACAGTGACTCAGTCTTACAACGAGACCCATCGACTCACACAGTGAGCTATAGACTCACACAAAGACTGTTAATAGGCAATCAGACACACTTTTCAGATGAAATGGTGCTGTGGTGCAGAGAAGTTATCTTCCTTTCCTGACCCTGACAGCTATATATTTGAAGTTTTGCATGTTCTCCCTGTGATCGGTTCTCCGGGTTTTCCCTCAATATTTAGAAACATGCATTTGGATTATTTATATTATTTTGCGGCAATACTTGTGTAGTGTACTAATTCACAGACACTCGTAGGAGGTGTTGTATGTCGGATTATGAAATTTTGATACAAATAATAATAAATTAATGAAGATTGGGAAAAATGCGTAAATCGCGGAAATTGTGACAATCATGGAGATAATCGTATTAATGTATGCGAATGCGTGTGATTATGTTAATGTGGGCAGTTATGGTAATTTAGCTTAGCTTCGTTATCCAGAGTTGTATCAATCGGGATAAAACAATTATCTTTGATTGACATTTATTTATTATCTTAGTGTGTTTATGTTATGTTAGGTCTCCAAATGCATATCTCAACGCAGGATACAGTTCTTATAAATAAGGGTTATGCATGGACTTGGAAAGAAACACTCAAACACTTCTATGTTAAGCAATTTTAATTCTAAACAAAAATATGACACTCTAATATGCGAACTCTCATGCTCGGAATTATCCATGGTACCATCGGGGAGATTTCTCTCAGTGAGCAGCATATTTAACCATCACTGTTTTTTTTCTTTTTCAACCGCACATCTCATTAATTCCACCGCGTAACGAGCATATCCGGCGACAGGTCGGGTCTTAAAACAGGCATGCAACGATAGTCATACGAAAGGCAAATAGCAAATTATTATATCCCGAAGACAAAAGCATACGTCAATAGATTCGTCGGCAAGATTAAATTGTTTTAACTAAATGTTTGAAACACTGGTGTGTGAGTGTGTGCGTGTGTTCTTTGTGGGAGAGCGTATTCTGGGCTCCGCTTTAATTAATTCTTAAGCGAGATTCTATGACAAAGGAACAGGTTTGACACAATATTCTCTCTCTGTAAACGTGTAGATTCGTGATGAGGATTTCAAGAGTTTTAGTTTGCATCGACGAATCTATTGGTCGTTTATGCGATAAGAGAAAACGAAATAAAAAAAAGAAACGCATAATACACTTATAACCGACGGATTCTTAATCACTCGATGGGCCACGATTCCTCACGGCCAGCTGGTGTTCATACTTTATAATTAGTATTCTTATGATTGTCTAGGGTCGGTCCCATTGTGTGGGAGAGGTGGATTGTCTCTTAGATAAATTCTTGCATGAGCCCTGGGGATGTAGATGTGTGTGTGTGTGATTACTTCCTTGGGTTTGTGAGTGCGGGAGGGGATACGAACGGCTGGGAGTTTCCTCTCGCACGTGCGGGGTTGCAGCGAGACGCGACTTTCTCCCTCCGCTGGAGATGAGCGGCGTCGGCCCGATGCTGTCCGTGGAGAGGCTCGGTCGCTGGGTGGCGCCCGGTGGGGCTTGGCGGCGCTTGGCGCTGGCACCCTCTGTACTCTGTAGCGCTGGTGGCGCGGCGGTGCTCGTTCACTCGTGCGCTGGTGGCTGGCACTTTTGTGCTCGGGCACTGGACGACGCGGCTGTGTGCGCTCGCCGGTTTGGAGTGCTCTGGCGATGAACGATGCTCTCGTTCGTTGCTGGGTTGACGTTGGGTTGATGTTGGGTTGACGTTGGGTGTCTTCGCTTGCTCGAGAATGATAACTGAAATCTCCGTCAGTTTCATCGCACCTCGGCGGCTCGGTGTAGCGATTCTTCTTCGGTGGTGCAGACCTCGGCTTAGCACGTCGCTACTCAGCGAGCATCGCCATTCTGGGTGATGAGAGAGCTCCTCCGTTGGAGGTGATGAGATGAGATGATGATTAGCGGAGCCCCGGTGATGAGCTGAGCTCCGATGAGCTCCGATGATCTGAGTTGAGATGATCGTGTCTGGGTATATATCTAGAAAAACTACTATGCTTCCGAGCCTGGCTTCAAAGGGCCGGAACCATAATTTTTGTTCGCGTGTGTGTGGACACAGCTGCGCGTGTGTCCGTGTGTGTGTTTATTGGAATAATACAATTCTTCAAGCGACGCAGCCGTTCGCTCAGCCTCCGTAATAATTAACATGGAAAGAGGCGGGGGGGGGGGTCTTCCTCGCGAAACGGTGTCACAGATGAGTCATCAGACTAAAACAAGACTGACGATTCGCGTTCGCACCGAAAATTATATAATCCCTTCCCACTCTGTTTCTGTTAACAAGTACACTTTGCTTTGATTTTGCTTGGTGTGGAGAACAAGGGGGGGGGCGGCTTTCCCGCGGGCTCTTCGCCAACAAAGGACTTTCCTCCAGATGGCCCCCACCTTGCCTCGCTCTGGGCGTTACCTTTGTCTCACACAACTTTTAAGTTTTTCGTTTTCTGTTTGGAAGTTAAAATGAGACTCACTTTACTTCTTATAGTATTATTGTAATTGATTCAAGGTATGTTGTAGCTGTGTTCACAGTATTTCCATCGTGGTTTGATTTCTTTATGGGGAGATGTTATCCTTTGTGTGCAAATCTTGCTATCCGTGCCACGGGAAGACAAAGGCGGTCGGGGGCTCCCTGTCCACAGAGCACACTCTAATCCTGCACCCCGGGTTGTGCCGTCTGGTCTTCAATTGGAGTGATAATAAATAATGTTCCCCCATTCTTTGTCGCTAAGTTTCGGAATTTCGTTATTAAAGGGAACATGAAAAGTTAATCAAAGCGAAGCCTGTGTCCTCTCTCGTCGGGGGGGGGGGGGGGGGGTATGCGTGTGTGTTTCCTTTTATGACCGACTCTTCCGTTGGAGGGGGGTATGCGTGTGTGTGCGTTCTTTATTCTTATTGAGACATCTGTTGAATTTCCTTTCTCAAGCCGTCCCTTCGTCGGTGGACACAGATTCCCAACTTGCAATAAAACTTTTTATGAGGAGGGCCATTTCCCTGCTCTGGTGTGCTCGCTGCGCTGTCCCGATGCTTCGGGAAGACAAAGGCGGCTGTGAGGCTCCCTTCCCATGGAGTATGTTACATATTGGTTAGGTATGACCGACTTATTTCGCACTTAACTCCTCTAGATGACCCTTGTATACTATTCGTAATAATAATGTTTATACTTGTTTTTGGTTTGTTTAGAATTATTATTACTACGTGTTTTCATAGCGTTTATTAACCTTTGTTTCACTGCCTGCATTCTGGGCCTGCGCTGCCCGTTCTCGAGTCATTACTATTATCTGATGCCAGGGTTAGGTAATTCGCTTTGGCCTAGGAACGATCCTGACTGCCATATTATTATCATTATTTTCCAACCAGAACATTGGTATTGAATTAACAAATGAGGACTCACGACCCCCTGGTGCAGACTAAAGTCTGCTTTTTAATTGGAGTGAGGGTGAGAATAGATAATGTTTGCTTAATATTTGTCGCAAAGTTTGTAACTTTGTTTAACTAATATGGCTCAAAACCAGTCTGTTTGCTTTCCCTGTTGCCAATTTTTGAACTTTTAATCGTGGTATTAAGGGAGCTAAAAAATTATATATGTCTCGTGACGCCTACTGCCTGTATTGTGTGGGGGCCTTTTGAAGTGGAGGTCATTGTTTTAACCCCATTTGCAATTCCCCACCCCCTCTCTATCTGTGTGTGTATGGGGAGGGGTTTATTATCCTTTATGGTTCATCTCCTGCCCTCTGGCCTTTTGATGCGAGCGTGTGACTGCAGCTGCTCGAAAAAGAAAAAGGGAGGGGGGGTTCGTTGTTTGCGCTTCCGAGTGACTGTGAACCCAAAAATTATTGGCCGAATTATTCTTAATATTAATTCTGGAAAAAGGGCATATATACAAAAGTACTCTCTCTCTCTTTTATTCCAGCCTTCCCAGCGTTAGGGGATAACCACACACCGGGTCGGGACAGCCAACATGCTGCCAGACCCAGTTCCACTCCAGATCGCAGCAACCCCGACTGAGTCGGAGCTCGCCTTTTTCCTGAACAGCATGGCCAGGCTCCGCCCTCGGCCCCACACCCCTCTGGATCCCCCAGAGGGCTCCGTGCCTTGCCCACAGGTGCAACTGGTAGAACGGCTGTTACTCCTAATTCTCTTGTCTACCAATCTCCCAGCGGCACTCGCTACAGTGCTACAGTGACTAATTCCCTGTCACTACATCACCCCCCCTCCGCATCCCCTATGAAAAAAAGAACCCAGCGCAATATTCGCAATGCATGTCAACAATCCAGCCCCCAAAATAACAGCAAGCCAACGACGAGTAGGGGCGGTCATCTGCACCGAACCGATTTGGAACGGGTCCTTGTCGCAGGTCCCTCGTATGGGCCTGGCATGGGGCCCCCAGGGACCCCGGGGGTGACTCGCAGCTGGCTCAATGGGCGTGGTCCCCACCGGGATGAAGGTGGAGGAGAGGAAGAAGCAGGCGGCGGTTGTACCGTCCACCCCGGTCCGCCTGTGGGCGGCACCGCTGGCAGTTCCATGGGCGTTAAGCCCTGGGATCCTGCGGATGGAAGAACAGTCTCTTAGATGTGCGACCTCCGTAACCGTACGTCCATCCCCGTTCGAAACATCACACACACGGCCATCAGATGGTGGAGTTGAATTTCCCTCATAAGGTGGAAAATAGGGTTTCAGTCGTGACGGGTGCACATACCAATGCCTCCGACCAACCAGATGTGCGACCTCCGTAACCGTACGTCCATCCCCGTTCGAAACATCACACACACGGCCATCAGATGGTGGAGTTGAATT